GAGGAAAAAAACCGGGAGCTTTGCTTGCGAACAAATCGCTTTATTGTGTGGGAACCGTAGCACCGCCAAACGGACGGCGCCCAGTGGATCTCTTCCCCCCAGTGGATCTCTTCCCCCAGTGGATCTCTCGCGCCCGGTCGGAGGGGGGAGTTCTAGTTTCCAGAAGGCGGCGCCGCCTGGGAAGGAAATGGGAGTTCTAGTTTCCAGAAGGATTTCCCTTTTCAGTCCTGTCCTCCTTTCCCTTTCTTTCCCCTTCCTCCTTTCCCTTTCATCCCTTTTCCCTTTCATCCCCTTTCCCTTTCATCCCCTTCCTCCTTTCCCTTTCATCCCTTTTCCCTTTCATCCCCTTCCTCCTTTCCCTTTCACCCCTTTTCCCTTTCACCCCTTTTCCCTTTCATCCCCTTCCTCTTTTCCCTTTCATCCCTTTTCCCTTTCATCCCTTTTCCCTTTCATCCCTTTTCCCTTTCACCCCTTTTCCCTTTCATCCCCTTCCTCCTTTCCCTTTCATCCCCTTCCTCTTTTCCCTTTCACCCCTTTTCCCTTTCACCCCTTTTCCCTTTCACCCCTTTTCCCTTTCATCCCCTTCCTCTTTTCCCTTTCATCCCTTTTCCCTTTCATCCCTTTTCCCTTTCACCCCTTTTCCCTTTCATCCCCTTCCTCTTTTCCCTTTCATCCCTTTTCCCTTTCATCCCTTTTCCCTTTCACCCCTTTTCCCTTTCATCCCCTTCCTCCTTTCCCTTTCATCCCCTTCCTCTTTTCCCTTTCATCCCCTTCCTCCTTTCCCTTTCATCCCTTTTCCCTTTCTTTCTTTCTTTCTTTCTTTCTTTCTTTCTTTCTTTCTTTCCCCTTCCTCCTTTCCCTTTCATCCCTTTTCCCTTTCTTTCCCCTTCCTCCTTTCCCTTTCATCCCTTTTCCCTTTCTTTCTTTCTTTCTCCCTCCTCCTTTCACTTTCATCCCTTTTCCCTTTCTTTCTTTCTTTCTTTCTTTCTTTCTTTCTTTCTTTCTTTCTTTCTCCCTCCTCCTTTCCCTTTCATCCCCTTCCTCCTTTCCCTTTCTTTCCCCTTCCTCCTTTCCCTTTCTTTCCCCTTCCTCCTTTCCCTTTCTTTCCCCTTCCTCCTTTCCCCTTCCTCCTTTCCCTTTCTTTCCCCTTCCTCCTTTCCCTTTCATCCCTTTTCCCTTTCTTTCTTTCTTTCTTTCTTTCTTTCTTTCTTTCTTTCTCCCTCCTCCTTTCCCTTTCACCCCTTTTCCCTTTCTTTCCCCTTCCTTTTTTCCCTTTCATCCCTTTTCCCTTTCTTTCTTTCTTTCTTTCTTTCTCCCTCCTCCTTTCCCTTTCATCCCTTTTCCCTTTCTTTCTTTCTTTCTTTCTTTCTTTCTCCCTCCTCCTTTCCCTTTCTTTCCCCTTCCTCCTTTCCCTTTCATCCCTTTTCCCTTTCATCCCCTTCCTCCTTTCCCTTTCATCCCCTTCCTCCTTTCCCTTTCATCCCCTTCCTCCTTTCCCTTTCATCCCCTTCCTCCTTTCCCTTTCTTTCCCCTTCCTCCTTTCCCCTTCCTCCTTTCCCTTTCTTTCCCCTTCCTCCTTTCCCTTTCATCCCTTTCCCCTTTCTTTCTTTCTTTCTTTCTTTCTCCCTCCTCCTTTCCCTTTCACCCCTTTTCCCTTTCTTTCCCCTTCCTTTTTTCCCTTTCATCCCTTTTCCCTTTCTTTCCCCGTCCTCCTTTCCCTTTCATCCCTTTTCCCTTTCATCCCCTTCCTCCTTTCCCTTTCATCCCTTTTCCCTTTCTTTCTTTCTTTCTTTCTCCCTCCTCCTTTCACTTTCATCCCTTTTCCCTTTCTTTCTTTCTTTCTTTCTTTCTTTCTTTCTTTCTTTCTTTCTTTCTTTCTTTCTCCCTCCTCCTTTCCCTTTCTTTCCCCTTCCTCCTTTCCCTTTCATCCCTTTTCCCTTTCTTTTTCTTTCTTTCTTTCTTTCTTTCTTTCTTTCTCCCTCCTCCTTTCCCTTTCTTTCCCCTTCCTCCTTTCCCTTTCATCCCTTTTCCCTTTCATCCCCTTCCTCCTTTCCCTTTCATCCCCTTCCTCCTTTCCCTTTCATCCCCTTCCTCCTTTCCCTTTCTTTCCCCTTCCTCCTTTCCCTTTCATCCCTTTTCCCTTTCTTTCTTTCTTTCTTTCTCCCTCCTCCTTTCACTTTCATCCCTTTTCCCTTTCTTTCTTTCTTTCTTTCTTCTTTCTTTCTTTCTTTCTTTCTTTCTTTCTTTCTTTCTTTCTCCTCCTCCTTTCTCTCTTTCTTTCCCCTTCCTCCTTTCCCTTTCATCCCTTTTCCCTTTCTTTCTTTCTTTCTTTCTCCCTCCTCCTTTCCCTTTCACCCCTTTTCCCTTTCTTTCCCCTTCCTCCTTTCCCTTTCATCCCTTTTCCCTTTCATCCCCTTCCTCCTTTCCCTTTCATCCCCTTCCTCCTTTCCCTTTCATCCCCTTCCTCCTTTCCCTTTCTTTCCCCTTCCTCCTTTCCCTTTCATCCCTTTTCCCTTTCTTTCTTTCTTTCTTTCTCCCTCCTCCTTTCACTTTCATCCCTTTTCCCTTTCTTTCTTTCTTTCTTTCTTTCTTTCTTTCTCCCTCCTCCTTTCCCTTTCTTTCCCCTTCCTCCTTTCCCTTTCATCCCTTTTCCCTTTCTTTCTTTCTTTCTTTCTTTCTCCCTCCTCCTTTCCCTTTCACCCCTTTTCCCTTTCTTTCCCCTTCCTTTTTTCCCTTTCATCCCTTTTCCCTTTCTTTCCCCGTCCTCCTTTCCCTTTCACCCCTTTTCCCTTTCTTTCCCCTTCCTCCTTTCCCTTTCATCCCTTTTCCCTTTCTTTCCCCTTCCTCCTTTCCCTTTCATCCCTTTTCCCTTTCTTTCTTTCTTTCTTTCTTTCTCCCTCCTCCTTTCACTTTCATCCCTTTTCCCTTTCTTTCTTTCTTTCTTTCTTTCTTTCTTTCTTTCTTTCTCCCTCCTCCTTTCCCTTTCTTTCCCCTTCCTCCTTTCCCTTTCATCCCTTTTCCCTTTCTTTCTTTCTTTCTTTCTTTCTTTCTTTCTTTCTCCCTCCTCCTTTCCCTTTCTTTCCCCTTCCTCCTTTCCCTTTCATCCCTTTTCCCTTTTATCCCCTTCCTCCTTTCCCTTTCATCCCCTTCCTCCTTTCCCTTTCATCCCCTTCCTCCTTTCCCTTTCATCCCCTTCCTCCTTTCCCTTTCATCCCCTTCCTCCTTTCCCTTTCATCCCCTTCCTCCTTTCCCTTTCTTTCTCCCTCCTCCTTTCCCTTTCTTTCCCCTTCCTCCTTTCCCTTTCATCCCTTTTCCCTTTCTTTCTTTCTTTCTTTCTTTCCCCTTCCTCCTTTCCCTTTCACCCCTTTTCCCTTTCTTTCCCCCTCCTCCTTTCCCTTTCATCCCTTTTCCCTTTCTTTCCCCTTCCTCCTTTCCCTTTCATCCCCTTTCCCTTTCTTTCTTTCTTTCTTTCTTTCTTTCTTTCTTTCTTTCTTTCTCCCTCCTCCTTTCCCTTTCTTTCCCCTTCCTCCTTTCCCTTTCATCCCTTTTCCCTTTCATCCCCTTCCTCCTTTCCCTTTCATCCCTTTTCCCTTTCTTTCCCCTTCCTCCTTTCCCTTTCATCCCTTTTCCCTTTCTTTCCCCTTCCTCCTTTCCCTTTCATCCCTTTTCCCTTTCATCCCCTTCCTCCTTTCCCTTTCATCCCTTTTCCCTTTCTTTCCCCTTCCTCCTTTCCCTTTCATCCCTTTTCCCTTTCTTTCACCTTCCTCTTTTCCCTTTCTTTCCCCTTCCTCCTTTCCCTTTCATCCCTTTTCCCTTTCATCCCCTTCCTCCTTTCCCTTTCATCCCTTTTCCCTTTCTTTCCCCTTCCTCCTTTCCCTTTCTCCCCTTTTCCCTTTCTTTCTCCCTTCTCCTTTCCCTTTCATCCCTTTTCCCTTTCTTTCACCTTCCTCTTTTCCCTTTCTTTCCCCTTCCTCCTTTCCCTTTCATCCCTTTTCCCTTTCTTTCCCCTTCCTCCTTTCCCTTTCATCCCTTTTCCCTTTCTTTCACCTTCCTCTTTTCCCTTTCTTTCCCCTTCCTCCTTTCCCTTTCATCCTTTTTCCCTTTCATCCCCTTCCTCCTTTCCCTTTCCCCCCTTTTCCCTTTCTTTCCCCTTCCTTTTTTCCCTTTTATCCCTTTTCCCTTTCTTTCCCCTTCCTCCTTTCCCTTTCATCCCTTTTCCCTTTCTTTCCCCTTCCTCCTTTCCCTTTCTTTCCCCTTCCTCCTTTCCCTTTCTTTCCCCTTCCTCCTTTCCCTTTCTTTCCCCTTCCTCCTTTCCCTTTCTTTCCCCTTCCTCCTTTCCCTTTCTTTCTCCCTCCTCCTTTCCCTTTCTTTCCCCTTCCTCCTTTCCCTTTCAGGGAAAAAGAAGAAAAAAGAAGAAAGAAGAAAAAAAGAAGAAGAAAGAAGAAAAAAGAAGAAAAAAGAAGAAGAAAGAAGAAAAAAAGAAGAAAAAAGAAGAAGAAAGAAGAAAAAGAAGAAAAAAGAAGAAAAAAGAAAAAAGAAGGAAAAAAAGGATTAAAAAGAAGAAAAAGAAGAAAAAAAAGAAGAAAGAAGACGAAAAAAGAAGAAAAAGAAGAAAAAAGAAGAAAAGAAGAAAAAGAAGAAAAAAAGAAGAAAAGAAGAAAAAGAAGAAGGAAGAAAAAAGAAGAAAAAGAAGAAAAAGAAGAAAAAGAAGAAAAAAGAAGAAAAAGAAGAAAAAGAAGAAAAAGAAGAAAAAAGAAGAAAAAAGAAGAAAAAGAAGAAAAGAAGAAAAAGAAGAAAAAGAGAAAAGAAGGAAAAAGAAGAAAAAGAGAAAAAGAAGAAAAAAGAAGAAAAAGGAGAAAAAGAAAAAAAAAAGAAAAAAGAAGAAAAAGAAGAAAAAGGAGAACAAAGAAGAAAAAAGGAAGAAAATAGAAGAAAAAAAGAGAAAAACTTTTTACCACTTTCCCTTTCTTCCCTTTCCCTTTCTTTTCCCCCTCCCCCCTCACTTCCGGCCCCGACAGTTCCATTTCACGTCCGTTCTCCCGCTTCGACCCGGAAGCAGAACCTCCTCCCCTCCGCGCATGCGCCAAACCGACGACGGCGAACGTACGTGAGGCGACGTCGGCGTCATGACGCAGCAAGGGGCGGCGCTCCAGAGCTACAACAACGAGCTGGTCAAATGTGAGGCGAAGTTTCGGCGAAGCTCGCTACTCGAGCTCACGCTCCGGCGGAGGGAGTAGGCCGCGTTGCTAGGGCGAAGGCGGCGTCGCTAGGGAAAGCGCGGCGGGGATTGGCTGGCGAGGGAGGGATACGGCCAATGGGAGAGGGCGAGGGGAAAGGCGAGCGTTGCTATTGGCCGAGCGGCGTGAGGGGCGGAGACGTATGAAGGCCGTGCGTCGGGACTAGGCCGCGTTGCTAGGGCGAAGGCGGCGTCGCTAGGAAAGCGCGGCGGGGATTGGCTGGCGAGGGAGGGATACGGCCAATGGGAGAGGGCGAGGGGAAAGGCGAGCGTTGCTATTGGCCGAGCGGCGTGAGGGGCGGAGACGTATGAAGGCCGTGCGTCGGGACTAGGCCGCGTTGCTAGGGCGAAGGCGGCGTCGCAAGGGAAAGCGCGGCGGGGATTGGCTGGGCAGGGAGAAAGAAGGCCAATGGGAGAGGGCGAGGGGAGGGCCGAGCGTTGCTATTGGCCGAGCGGCGTATGAAGGCGGTGCGAAGCGACTAGGCCGCGTTGCTAGGGCGACGAGGGAGAGAGCGAGACGGGGATTGGAAGGGGAAAGAGGGAGAAGGCCAATGGGAGAGGGCGAGGGGAAAGGCGAGCGTTGCTATTGGGCGAGCGGTTCGAAGGGGCGGGCGCAGGCGTGAGGGGAGGCCGCGTTGCTAGGGCGACGAGGGAGAGAGCGAGAAGGGGATTGGAGGGAGAAAGCCAATGGGAGAGGGCGAGGGGAAAGGCGAGCGTTGCTATTGGGCGAGCGGTTCGAAGGCGGGCGTAGGCGTGAGGGCGAGGACGTCGACGCCGGAGGGAGCGCGGCGCGGATTGGTTGGCGGAGGAGGGAGAAGGCCAATGGGAGTGGGGCTCCGAGGATGGCGGGAAATTCGAGCGTTGCTATTGGCCGCGTGGTTCGAAGGGGGCGGAGGCGCGGATGTACGCGCGCTCCTATTGGCCGCGTGGTTTGACCGGGCGTGGAAGGACGCGCGTTGCTATTGGCCGCGCCGCGTGAGGGGCGGAGACGTTTGACTGTCGCCGAGTTGCTATTGGACAAGCTGGTTGAGAAGCTTGAGGGCAGGCTGCGTTGCTAGGGCGACGACGTCGGTGATTGGCTGGGGAAGGAGAGAGGCGGCCAATGGGAGGAGGGCGAGGCGACGGGCGGGAAAGTCCGCGCGTTCCTATTGGCCGCGCGGGTTGAGGGGGCGGAGAGGGGGCGTTGCTATTGGCCAGGCTGGTTTAAGGGGCGGGCCCGCGGCCTAGCGGGGTTGCTATGGCGACGAGGCCTAGCTTGCGCTACTGAATTTATTGATTATTATTATTATTATTATTATTATGGTTTAAACTGAATCGTGATTAAATTATTATTAATTTTAATTATGAATTTAAGTAAATTAATAACTTAAATCCCAACACTGCTGACTAGAATCTTGAATTAAATCTCCAGATAATAATAATAATAATAATAATAATAATAATAATTAGTATTAGTATTCTTATTAATAAGTCTCCAAGTATTGAGGACCTTATTATTACTATTAATATCACTATTACTATTATTATTATTAATAATAATATTAGTAATACTCCAGGCATTGAGGACCTTATTCTTATTATTCCTTTTATGTTTATTATTATTATTAAATATTATTATTATTATTAATTATTATTCCTAATTCCCCAATCATTGAGGACCTTATTCTTATTATTATTACTATTATTACTTTTATTATTATTATTATCATTATCATTATTCCTAATTCCCCAGCCATTGAGGACCTTATTCTTATTATTATTACTATTATTACATTTATTACTATTATTATTATTATTATCAATATTATTATTATTATTTATTATTATTCCTAATTCCCCAGGCATTGACATTCTTATTATTACTATTATTACTATTATTATTATTATTATTATTAAATCTCATTATTATTATTATTAATTATTATTCCTAATTCCCCAGGCATTGAGGACCTTATTCTGATTATTACTATTATTACTTTTATTATTATTATTGTTATTATTATTATTAAATCTTATTATTATCATCATCAATATTATTATTATCAATATTATTATAAATAATAATTATTATTATTCCTAATTCCCCAGGCATTGAGGACCTTATTCTTATTTTTACTATTATTACTTTTATTATTATTATTATTATTATTAAATCTTATTATTATCATCATCAATATTATTATTATCAATATTATTATAAATAATAATTATTATTATTCCTAATTCCCCAGGCATTGAGGACCTTATTCTGATTATTACTATTA